TACAGGGTCTCACTACGCAACTCAGGGTCATAGTGATCCTCCTGTACTCAGTTGCCCGCTCAGTGCACCTCAGGGCAGGGCCAGCACAGCATGCAAGAATTGAACCCTGGTCCCTGCATTTGCCAAAGCAGGTGCTTAGTCCACTGAGCTAATACACTGGCCATCATTCCTCTTATCTGAATAAAGAACACTGTTAAGACTGAAAATTATGTGAAACAAACAAAGCAAAAAAAGATTATTGTGGAAATATCTACAACCCCATGTAGTTCTACTGTTATATTTTTTGATGGTGTATATCCCATATTAGTATATGTTCCTTTTTATCTTGGAGAAGATCAGGGAAATAGAAATAAAATGTACTCTTTGGCATGTTTGAAATTCTTTTATTCAAAATGATATCTCCTTACTTTCTGCTACAGTTTAGATCGAAATATGTCCCTTTCCTCAGAAGTCAGGCTTCAAGAAGGTGATTAGATCACTAGGGTTCTGATTTCATTCACAGATTGATCCACTGACCCAAATCCCAATTCCATGGCATTATTGGAAGGTCATGGAAATTCAGGAGATGGAACTTAGTTGAAAGGAGTGCTTCCAGGGAGCATGATCTTGAGGACATATCTTGTCACTGACGCCTTTCCCTCAGACTCTGCCTCTGTCTGCTTCCTGAACCTTCCTTGCTGTCTCAATTCCCTGCCTGTCATAAATAGAGCATCTCATCTCCGTTGCACCTTTCCACCATGATGCTTTTGCTTTGGAGCTATTAACTGTGAATTGACACCATGACCAAAAATAAACCTTGGTGCAGGTTAACACACCTGTACAGGACCATTAGGAAGACTGAGCTCTGCTACTGCCAATTCAAAATACAGGGAAGAAAATAAAAAAGTCTTCAGAGCTAATTGAAGCCCTCTCATATTGAAAAGGACAGCATGCTCTAATGAAGTGTACAGGAAGAAGTGCTGGCTCTATCTCATACCTCAAACAGCATCTTTGAGGATGTCTCTCTTCTTTGGATCGCCAGAGGGTCCATGAGGTAGGGAAGAGTCTTCAGGGTCATTTCTAGCCAACCACCCCATCCTCTCTCTTAATTTACTAAACATGTCATCTTTCAAAAAT